GCCTTCACTAATACCTGGCTCCAGCACCTTTTGGCAACAATGACAGCCTCTAAATGTTTCTTGTAGCCACCTATGCACTATGTCTGCTGGTAGGTTCTGCCACTCTTTCATTGCTATGTGTTCAAGCTCTTAAAAGTTTGCAGGAGTCATTTTTGCAGCTGCAGATTTCAGTGAAATTTACATCATGACTTATTGCTGGCCAGTTTAAAACATCCATCTTTTCCTTTTCAACCATTCTTTGGTGCTGCTGGATGTGAGCTTTCAGCCATTGTGCTGCTGGAAGACCCAAGGCCGTCACATCAAACCTAGTTTTCTGACACTGGTTAACACTTTTTGCACTAAAAGGCCATGTTGATCTTCTGATTTCATCATTCCTTTGATAGATTCAACGCCTCCAGTACCAGAGACAACAAAGCAGCCCCACATTATGATAGAGCCTCCACCATGTTTTACTGTAGGTAGAGTGCTGTTTTCCTTGTGGGCTTCATTTCATCACCTATACACAAATTGATGCACTGCATTCCCAAAGAGCTTTTCTTTGGTTTCATCTGTCCATAAAACATCATCCCAGCAAGACACTGGCTTATTCATGAAAGTTCTTCTAAATATCAGTCTTCCCTCTTTGTGCCTGCCTCTGAATAGCGGTACCCTCCTTGGCCTTCGCCCATGGAGCCCTCCTTGGTTTAGTGTGCAGTGTATTTCACGGGCCGAAACCACCACTCCAGATTGCTCCAGGTCAGCCTGAAGTGCTTTAGAGTGGTGTTTTTTGTTTTTCCACAATCCGCACCAGCCCTCACAAACTTCTCTCATTTTATTTCACCTTAGCGTCACATTCCTGGGAGCATCTTAACTGTGACTGTGAAACTTTCTCTATACCATTACGAACCATTGAAACATTGATTTCAAGATTGGTGTTGCCTTGTAGCTTTTTGGAATTGTTATGTTTTGTGATAATAGCATTTCTGATGCTCTCAGACAGCTGCTCTCTGCGGTAAAACCATCAATCATTGGTTAATTCAGGTCGTGTGAATGCTGAAAATTAAGCACAGGCGATCGAAAGGTTGCCAATAATTGTGTCCGGGGTACATTTTGTGTCTTATTTCATTGAAGATATTCAAAATTATGCATTTGAAATCCAGGGTGCCAATACTTTTGAGCAGGACTGTACAATATTTTTGGGAAAGATAGTGTTTCACATAGTTTTCCATATCATAGCTGCTTTTTTTTTCTTTTTTTTACCTGAAGATGACTTGATGCTTGTCAGGAAATGATGTGCTGTAACTGTTTTTTCAATGAATAACAGTTTTCTCCATCTGCCCAGCAACTCTGTGCAACAACTCTGCTGGCTGTCTGGCAACCTCAAAGTGATGGCTAGCCTCCAGGTAATCAATGAGCCAGGCTGTTGTTCACCTAGAAATACTTCCAACATGCAGCTCCTCGTAAAACCACAAATTGTTGTTTGCACATTTCAATTTGTGTACAGACTAAATAAATGAGATGCTACATATTGATTAGTGATCTGCAGAGGTCTTGCTGGGTGTGTTGTTGAAGTTTGGACAGAGCTGCGCTAGCTGCCCCCCCCCCCCCCCCCCCCCCCCCCCTGCTTCCAGTCTACATTCAAAGCTAAGCTTGTCTTCTCTTTGCTCTAGTTTCATCCTAAACTCACTGATTCCCCAAAATGTCAGACTATTCCTTGATGCTGAATATATGTATAAATATTGTGTATTTTAATTCATATATTTATCCTTGATATGTCAGAGTGTAGAAATTATCATTCACATAACCCACATTATTCTAATTCATATTTCATTTTCTTTGGTCTTTGGTTTTACTACATGTTTCTGCAATCACCCAACTGTCATCGCAAGGACCATTAAGGTTTCATGTCCTCTAATCTAATTTATTGCCGTAATATATTAAATAGCAGCGTAATTTTTATTAGGCTTTGAGGGGACAGTAATATGCTGTATCTGCATGTGCTGCATGGATTTATGAGCACTCATTGACATGCACAAGATCCTATGACCCAATTTAGGATTTGTAAAAAATCTGGTCATCCTACTTACATGATATTGAGTGTCAAGGGTGATGGATTTCTTCTCCCAGTTTCAATCTAATCCCACTTGATCCAAAGTAATATTTGCGCTGACTTTGTGTCATAACTTCTGCTGCGCAATGTAAATGCTCAGACCCATATTCCAAGTGATTATGGATTTTTTCATTTGCATATTGGATTCAGAGGTTGGGTTGATACTGCGGGTTATCCGTTTTAACCCAAATGGCCAGACTCAAGGAAGATTTGTACTATTGGAGTTCTATTTCAGTATAATCTGACCCTCACAATCTGCTGCTGCCTGTCTAGCTTTCTTCTGTGTGCTTGTGTCCAATTTTATGTTCCAGACAATGCGCACATTGTCAGTGACGTAAGAGAGAATGATCACGCACCATTCTTATTAAATGAATAGCCGAAGTACTAGATGTCAAATTGATGTCCCAAGGGACTGACGCTATTCAGGGGGCTGTAATAAACCAACAAAAACATCATCAAACAACTTCAAAACCCACCAAGCAGTTTTCTTGATGCTGTGTTTACTGTATGTAGGAATCGGATGTGTAATGCTTTGCTTTTTTATTAGCTCCAGCTTTGATCCAGGAGGAATGGTTATGATAGTGAATCGACACAGTAAAGTTTGGCAGGAGGATTTGGTTTTGACCAGGGGGTTTCCAATTTATCCTGGAGGCAATAAAATGCATCAATGAACATAAAAAAACAATTGTAAAAAGTCTAATTGTGATTCACTTGAAGAACATGGTGCCGGTCATAACAATACACCCAAGGATCTAATTACTGTGCTTTTGTTCAGCAGAAGAATAGTCAAAGGGTTATAAAGCTTTTTAAAGAGGACTATAATACAGAACTGTATCTTTTTTTCCTGTTGAGAAGAAAAAACTCAAGGCCTTAGCACTAGTTCTGCGGTGAATAAAATGTGAAAGAGACCAGCTTTAGTCAAAGAAAATATCATGTTAAGAGGGCAAGTTTTCTTCTTGGCTTATTTTCTCTTCTTAAAACCTGTCTTTTTCTTTAATAACCACTTTTCTTTATCTCTTTATCTCTAAAGAATCTGATTGGTCTTCCTTCTCCTCCTACACACTCACCATATCCACCAACTATCTAGCCTTTTGTTTGGAGTCAGAGCTACTTGAACTTCGACACAAATATTGGCAGAGATGTTTCTTTGGTTGACGTGGAGGCAGTTCAAGAGACATAATGTAACCTTGTGTAAGAAACCTGAACTAATTATAACACACTGAGCACTGTAACAGGGGCAGTGTGTGAGTAATGAAGACAGACAACATGGATGAAGAAGACCAAAGAGAGCAATGTTGGCAAGATTTCTTTCTAATCCTCTCCTTAACGCCCCTCTCTCTCTCTCCCTCTTTGTTTCATTGTCTCCCGCTCTCTATTTCATTTCATTCTCCCACAGCAGTGCCAATGCGCTGCCATGACGGCCATTAAGATGTTATGGTTTTCAATAACTTTTTATAGAGTTTGTGCATCAGAGACCTATTTGCAAAATGAACTGATGAGACATCAGTGAGGTGTTAGAAGTGCACTGTCATCATGTTAACTTTGAGAGGTTGAAACTCAGTGGAACGGGTCAATCATTTCATAGAGTAGAATAGTGGGGTTTGTTTTTGGCAACAGGAAAACAGTTGTGACGTGTCATATCAACATATCAAATATGCAAATGTCTCAGCTTGGGGAAAGTGGCCTCCACGAAGAAGTGTTTACAAAGAAAAAGATCAAACCTGATGTTTGGTAAAAGTTGCACTCCAGTCTTTGTAGCTGGGAATGTGTCAAAAAACTTGCTGAATGTTGAAAGCTGTCATTGTCTGAGAAACTCATCCATCACACTACGTTTGAGGAAACTAAAAAGTACAACCATATGCTCTTTAGTTGTTCTTTGGTAGGATGCATTACTAAGATGAATGATGTTTCAATCATCTGACAAGACTGCATTCAAATTGTCAATGTTCACGCCTTTGTTCGGAGCATTTTATGATTGAATGGAAGAAGAAAAGGTCTTTGAGGGACTATCAAAAAATGTTCCTTTTCCTCTCAGCCTCTGACAGGGGTGTATCGGTGCACATATATGATTAACATTGGAGTCGGAAAACTGCACAATAACAGGGCAAAGAAGAGAGAAAAAGTAACTGTACAGCTTAGAAACCATGGGCGTGTTCTGTTAGCAGTGGTTTTGAAAAGTAAGAATCACACCAGCGTCTAAACTAACTGACATGACATTTACAGGAAGGTTTTCAAGCTGCAGCTGACACATGCGCCGGTTAGCAAACTGATGTAAGCATTGCAACTTTCCTGGGTGGGCAGAAAAAATTATATTTAATTTTAATTTCAGTTAAACTTTATGACTTTACACCTGTAAATATTCTAAGTACTTCTATGTGCTTTTTCATACTGTTGGTGGTGATGTAAATTATTTAGAGTCCCTGCAAAGGAGTTGAATTTAGTACCACAGAAGCATTTAGTTGGTAATGTGCACATGTCCTGCAAATGAGGACACAAGTAGGTCACTTCATCAACATTATAATTTTCACTCAGGGGTGATATTGCACCTCACATCAGTAGTTTTCTTCATCTGGCTCTAATGAGCTAATTACTGACTGAGACCAATGCAGCAATTGTTGACTCATTGTTTTATTAAAGTTGGTAGAAGTTTGATTTTCCTCCCAGGTTGTTTATTTGATTTTAAAAATAGAAAGTACAAAGGATTAAGTGGGAAGTGTTTGACAACATGAAGTGGAAATTACAACAATTTGCGCAGCATAGTCTATCATTATCTGGTGCCGTATTCATCCAGCATGTGGCAGATATGGTTTTTTTTGTTTGTTTTTTTCTGTTTGTTTACACATGTGAAATATCTAAGCCCCTAGTCTTGTTGTGTAGTCAAAAGTGTTTTTCCAAGAGATTAAAATCTCACCTTAGACCGTACAGTACGGTGCCGTCCGGGTGCAGTCGGATCATTCTATTTTTCACTGTGACACCGTGGACGAACGATTTCTTGTCGTTGAGGAAGTAGGTGTCGGGGACCCACAGCTGGTCAGCCACCCGGTTATCTAAGGTCAGGTTGAGGGGGATCTCAGAGTAGGACAGCCGCTTGTCTCGCCAGGCCTGCTGAAAGTACATCGTCAAAGTGTAGTCCTGTAAGTGCACAGAGAGGGAGCAAAGGAGGACGGAGACAGGGTGGGTGGGGGGGGGGGGATGGGAGGGAGGGAAGGGGTGGGGGGAGAGGAAGAGGAATAACAGAGGGGAGGGGTGACGATTGAAGTGATGGGGAACGCGCCAAGAGAGGGAGGAAGAGAGGGAGAGAGAGAGAGAGAGAAGAGATTGAAGGGACGGTTACTCCAAAAAAGCAAAACATTTTACATAGCTGCTCCACTGCAAGCTTTCAAATTAGACCAGACTCGCCTTCAATATTGGATGAAGTTCACTTAAAAGCAAACGGAACAGTAGCAGTACAGTCCAAAAAACTCTCAGTACAAAGCAATGGGGAATTCCTTCCATTCATAGAAACATGAGGTAAAGACAGACAGTGTGAAAGAATGTGTATGTGTCAGAGAAGGGGAGAGAGACAGAGATAGAGAGACAGATGGGTTTGGGTTTGGGTTTGGTGTGTGTGTGTGTGTGTGTGTGTGTGTGTGTGTGTGTGTGTGTGTTGTGTGTTTGTCAGTTTGGGTCTGTTATGATAAAGGGGTGAAGCATATGTACGTGGCTTGCTCGGTTGGTTTTAATGTGTGTGTGTTTTTGTGCATATATGACATTCATACATACACACAAAGAAGAGAAAGAAAGGGAGGGAGAGAGAGAGAGAGAGAGAGAGAGAGAGAGAGAGAGAGAGACCACATGTTCCAGACAAATGAAAATACCCTCCGAGCAACCTCAAAAATCTGTTTTACAAAATATCTCCTATATGCTCTATTTGCTTTGTCAGTAGCTGTCTTTCTGGGATTAAGTGCTGTTTGTGAAATGAGCGCACTATGTCGTACTTGCATAACATATTCACCCATTTCCCTCTGTTTGTTCTTCCCAGAACTAGAATGGTAGACCATCCTCTCACATCACATCAAATCGTGCACAGACAGCACAAAGCCTTTGAGGGACTGTATATGTCTGCTTTACATAGCACAGTCAGACATTAAAGTCTGATGAACATAATATCCATTCTCCCAGCAGCAGTGTTACTAAGGCTAGCTCATATTATGTATTTATTATATATCATTTATTAAATTTATTGGGACACTTAAAGGTACCCTGTGGAGGTTTCTGACCACTGGTTATGCTGCAGAGCAATATTTTTGCGGGCATGCAATACAATACGTATTTGAGCTTACGGGCGACAGTTGGTGGAGACAATGCGCCAAATCAGGAAATCGGATTTGCGAACAGGAAGGGAAATGGAAGAATGTGAAAACATAACTATTTCATGAGATAAAAACAAAACAAACAAACAAAATTCCTAATATATAGTTCAGTCAATGCATTACAATCTTAAAATTCAAATTCAAAGTGGTCAGATCATTGATTGTGATCAAATTCAGGATTGCACTGCACATCCAAATGCATATTTTCTATTGTTATAACACGATGCACATGCACACACATAAAAACTGGAAAAAAAAAACCTACAGTAGGTTAATATTTTATTAACGAACAGAGGAAGTTTGAAAACTGGCAGTGAAATTCCCTGACGGTAAATCTAGGACACGATAAAACAGTCAAGCCAGCAGTCAGATGCTCATGTAGCTCACTGAAGTAAGAAGCCTACCAATCATCCATGAAAAACTAAGTTAAATAAACTTGCTGTCTAAGGGAACTTTTTTGTCATGACTGGCACATCCACTTCCTGGCAAAGAGGCTGAACATGCATTTTTGAATATGCCCGTCGGCTACAGATCTGACATCCCACAGCACCTTGGGAACCAGAGGCTTGGATATTGACTGGATGGAGTCTGGGAAACGGGAGCAGCTTTTCTCAGTGAAATCCTTGTTTGACTTAAATAGGTTTTGTCATGTTGTTGTTGTTGTTTGTACCTTATTTGGCTCAGGGTGCTGACAACTAAGAGTTTGAGAATTGAGTTTTTCAAAGTCATAAATAGCAGAGTGGCAATTCTACTACATCCAGCGCTATAATTGGACTTGGAGCGGGAATAGAATGATTTGGGTAGATCCGGGGGTCAAACGCAGCATGGGATTGTTGAAAGTTTCATTTTGCCATTCTGATATAAACATTGGAATGCCTTACATAGGATGGTGTGAAGAAAATCATTTGGAGTGGTATGCAGAGGCTAAATTAGATGTTGAAAGACTGACGCCAAAATGAAGCAGCAGGTTCCTAACACAAAACAGCAAAACATCTGTGCTCTCACTTTTGGAAAAAAAAAATCACCCATCAAACAACTGAATCCTCATATCTGTGTGGCTTTACACTTGCACCGATGAAATTCTTGAATTCACATGCTGCCTTCCCAACAGTTCCATCCCTGGTCGGTGGTTATGTAACAGCTCACACTATGCGCTCTTTCTGGAATGCTGTGCACCGCAGCACGTGTGGCTGAAGAGATGCTTGTTGCCACGTCGTCCTCCTAAACTATCTCCTCTGAACTCATCGATACACAGGCATCAAACACATGAAACGTCAGGGAGGCTTCTCTACTTCTCCTGCTTGTGGGCATGCATGCACACACACACACACACACACACATGCACAATACGTCTTCCTGTTGCATCAGAAATTTGTACATTTAAACCGCTAAAAAAAGCACATCCCTTACAGCAAGAAACACGCCACATATCCTCCCAATACAACTGTCTTCATGTGTGTATCAGTGCATGTTGTGCGTGTGAGTATACACAGAAACTTGTGCTGTACATGTTTGTGTGTGTGTGTTTGTTGTGCTTCAGGGATCACAGCATGGGCTGAACAGGGATCGAAGAAGAAAGAAACAATGCAGCTGTGATTGTTCACCTGGCACTGTGCATTCTACAAGCTTCCTCACTGCTTTCTAACAGCGGAGATTAGATAACATGAGTCATGTGTATTGCATCACTAAAAAAAAAAAAAAAAAAAACCCATCAGCCATGCTGGCATATGCACAAAGCTTTTCAAATCTGTAGTACTCTTGAGTAGCTGTGGAAAGTTATGGGGGGGGGGGGGGGGGGGGGGGGGGGGGGGGGGTGACAACTAGGTTATTTAACTGAGTGAATGTTTCCATTGTCATCCAAGAGAGCTTGTTATTGCAAGCCTGTCTGCTCGAAGAAGTTGTGGTTTGCTTTGTGGGATGGGCCCCGTGGAGGTACCACTGTGGCTAGTTTACCGTGAACATAAAGCTCTCCTCAAAGACATCTATAGTGTACATCTCTCTTTATCTCTCCGTGGAAGGAGGAGGTTGTAAATCACCAGAATAACTGCAGCGGCGGTGTGTGCATGTGAGTGCAAGGGAGGCTGTCATAACAACAGTCATAATGAGCATCAGTACATAAACTATGTTGGAGAGAGAGTGAGAGAGAGAGACAGAGAGAGAGAGAGAGAGAAATGGAAAGAGAGGGTGATGCCGGGGAATGATGGTGAATTTATGAGCAGCAGAATATGCTGTGCAGCCGAGCTGGCAAGGAGAGGACAACACAGAGTGATCATCGTATTCTCACACTCAAAGCTGAAACAGAATGTGAGAATCCATTGCAACTGATAACTGGTTTCCAGTTCCGCTACGCGCTTCCAACTGCATTAATATGCCTCCTCCTTTTGAAGATCTCTTGTTAAACTTGTTGTTAAACAAAAACTATATTCAGCCCAAACAATCTGTCTATGATCAGTGTCGCTTGTGTTTTTCATTGGAAAAAAGTGAAATTTGAACTTGAAAGTTTCCTTCCCTGAAGAGGAAAATTTACAGTACACGGTTTATCTTTTATCTAAACCCCTGAACATCATCATCGTTGGAGGGAATACTCCTTTTTTAAAGGTTATTCCTCTTCCCTCCAACTATTCCTATGTATGCGCCTTAAACTGCATCTGTGCTGAATTTTAACAAAGGTAACAAGTACAGTTAATGCTGCTGCTCAGCTCACTGATACATGTGCTGTTGCAGCTACATCATCATCATCAAAAGTCTGCATGGGTGTTCCCCCCGCAGCCAGAGGAGGAATCTGGTGCTGAAAGATCATTTTCCATATGATGTGCTGACTCCGCTCACCTGGTCCGCCGGCGGCATACACTGCTGCACTGAAAGAGGTACTGTCATCACCGCTCTGCAGTGGCTTGTAGCCACCTCTGCAAGTGATGGAATGGAATAGGATAGAATTATTTGCCAGCACATATTGAAATAAGTACCGTGACCTGCTCATCGTCGCGAGTCATCTTACCCCAAGCTATATGAACCGGTGTCAAGCCTCAGATACTTTTAATGACCAGAGTCCCTCCTGATGTGAGCAATGCTGAGTGAATATGTCTTTGAAGATTCTTAGTCATTCATGTCATGGTATTTCTAAGCGCTATACGAAGGCTCTTGAAGACCCTCCACCTCTTCTTCAATTCTAACTGAAGCCTTTCGTCTTCAAGAACCTTAAACAAGTCCAGTTGCCTTCATATATCACTTAGAAATGCTGAGTGAAAGCCACTTAAGGTAGTCTAGCTCTGTTATGGAAATAAAACGTTCCTGTTGTTCCAATTGTTTTATGTATTCCAAATTTAAACTTTTGTTTGAAAGTTGTTTTTCCACCACAACAACACAGTGCTGCAAAACAAAATAAGACTGTTCCTACTGCAATATTGAGTTGCACCGGCAAATGTAACAACCTATATTTGGAACTAAATGTTCTTTAAAGTTGTTTGGGTTCAGCTCAGGTCCCCTCTGCTGCTGGCTTCTCTTTTTAAGATTAAATCACATACCTTGATGAAGCCTGATAAAATGTCAGCGTGCTTTAGTTTAGCACTCCTCAAATTCAGTTAGGAAAATCAACTCTGAAATTGAAGTCTGAAGTATAGTTGTTTAACTCCAAAATACACAGGAAAGGAAAACTAATGGTTCCAAGAGTCACTTTTTTCAGTGACACAGTGTTTTGTTTATCATAGCTAATTAACTATGAGTAGAACTGATTAAACAAACGAGGACAGGGCTGCTAGAGGTGCATATCAGCTTGCAATG